TCGTCCTTCCACTCCATAGGAACAAGGAACGTCTCCCGACCTGCCCCGTCAGCATATCATCACCTACCCTCAGCGGTAAATGCGGGCGACGGTGAATGCTACCTACCAAAAACCGACTCCTCCCACTTCCCATCCTTCCACACCGGCCTGACCCCCAGAAACACAGCCCACCAGTTCCCCTCCGCGTCCTCGACCAGATCCGCATGCCCGGTATTCTGCACCTCGTCGTCTACCCCATTCCGCCAGAGCGGATTACACGGCCCAACCTCCCACGGCCCGAACGGACTGACCTCACTCCGACAAACCCACTCGCAGTGCCCGCTCTCGGTGCCCCCCTCCGCCGTGAAGAGATAGTAGTACCGTCCCCGCTTGAAGATATGCGAGCCCTCTGCTACCCCCGAGGCCGATTCGCGGATCAGCCTCGGCTCGGAGGTGGAGTTGCCCGTCTCGAGGTCGACGGTTGCGATGTGGATTGCGAAATCCTTGAGGGTGGCGTTGGGGGTGCGGACCAGCTTGCGGTATGTCGATGACAGGTACACGGTTCCATCGTCATCCCAGAAGAGCTAATCCTCAGTGTCAGTCTTGGGTTCGTGGTTCATCCGGGTGTGGGTAGGGTTACATCCTGATCGAACCCGACCTGATCAAAATACACGGGGTCAGACCACGAGTCCGAGTCCCAGATGTTCTCTGTCTTGACGTAGAAGCCTCGCGGCCAGACGCGGTCGTCCTGCTGGGGGCGGTACCGCTCGAAGCTGGCGGCGATGATGTAGAAGGTCCCCTTGTGGTAGCGCAGGGTTGTTGCCCAGATCCCGCCGCCTGGCTCGGGGGTGTGGATTTGCAGCTGGCTGGGTTTTGTCAGGGCATGACCGATCAATGACCAGCGGATTAGATCCGTGCTGTGGTAGATTGGTGCGCCAGGGAAGTACTCGAAGGAGGACGTGACGAGGAAGTAGTCGTTGTTGACGCGAATAAAGGAGGGGTCCGGGTTGAAACCGGGGATGATGGGGTTGTTGTACATTCTACTCTACTATAGTGCCTCTTCTGGCTGGCCGTTCATCAGATTGATGGTGACGGTAGATATCTACGATATTGCGGGGGATTGTTATATAGTGGAGGTGATAACTTGATGGTCTCTGGTGATTGGTGGAGAAATCCAGGCCAGAGTCATTCCGTGAGGATCAACTGTCGGATCGGGGCTAAATGCATTTACCCTCATTCACAGACGATTTAACCGCAGGTGTAGATTGATTATATATTTATTCCAGTACTCCCTGTTGATTGATAGGCAAAGTGGTTGCCTTCAGACTTGCGGCTTCACTTCAACTTCAATGCCACGCTAGTGTGTTCATGACCCTAGGCAGCGCATTGAGCTACAATTATGACAGATCCGGAGACAAGCTGGCCGGGAGTCGTAAGAGCCAACAATACGAGAAGCTCAGCAAACTTCTCTGGTGTTTCGCTTGTCAGCATGGGGCCATGGGTGATCAACAAGGGCTACCTATACCGCATCCTCGAACACGAGCAAAGAGCGAGCTGCTTTCAATTGTCGCAATAGGTGTACGTCTTTAGCTCGGGACATTAGCTGTGTATCTCGGGAGTTCAAGATGAGTGAAAGGGGGAATTGTCGTTTTTAGTGATTCTTGTTGTATGATGGTTTGTGGCATGTGATTGTGGATTCCGCTGCTGGATCGCGACTCCACGAAAAGGATCAGGTTCGCTGGACCAAGTGGACAGGAACGTCAACTGAGATCATGTGAATCTAATTGCATGTGCTCCCTGCAATTGCTTGGAATCGTTTAATGAAGTACGGGATAATCTGAATACTGTACCAGGAGAATGGATCGTGGATTATGGACTAGAAATAAGAAATAAGCAGCACAACGCCAAGCTCCTTATTGCCTGAATGATCAGGCATCAGACTGCTCGGGAAGACACGCGTCGCAATGCCGAGTCAACTGGCGACACAACAGAGAAAGTACAAGAGATGATGAATTGAAGCATCTTCATCTCGTCTCATCTCATCTCAGCTTGGCTCATTTTATTGTGTTAAGCCCCTTAATCACCGATGACCGAGCACGATAATAAATGAAATTCAGAGGTGCTCCTCGGTATTGCCGAAGAGGCTTGGGATCCCTGCATACCGATGCAGGGCTGATCTTGCCCATCCTGGTCATTTGATCTGTCTCGGCGCGTCGATTACCTTCAGTTCCGATGACTTTTCTTCATGACCGAAACAACCTTTTTAATCCCCCTTCAAAAATCACGGTATTCGGCCGGAGTACTCCGTCCACTCTGGAACGACTAAAAATCAGGCATTCAGGCCACCACGCCGCCTGAGCCGAGGTTGATTCCCCATCCGGAAACGCCGCCCACAGGCCGAGGTGATTCAACTTCCCCCCCAACCCACTTCCCCGTGGAGAAAAGAAAGTCAGTTATAAGGGTCATTCTCCATTTCTTTCATCTATCTACTGCTTTGTTTCGTCCAGTCTACTCCTTCCCCAGATTGTCCCGTATACTACTCATTCACAATGCCTTCTCCTCCTCCCGAATGGGTCAAGGCGCTCACGCCTTCGAGCCCACAGGGCACCGACCTGCTCAAGCAGGAGCGTGCCCAGTCCAACGTCGAAGTCGACAAGCTCGCAGAGTTCCTACATACCAAAGCCTTTCTGGAGAAGCAGCAGCGCTTCCTGGAGCTTCTCTCGTCCGAGAAGGTCTTCGACAAGTCTCAGATGCACGCCCAGGGTCGTACCGAGCGGATCCAGCGGGCATTGGCCAAGGGTAAGCGACTGCAGCAGTTGAAGGAGAAATACAACTGGTCGACAGAGGATTTCCACTTTGCCAGTGAGATGATTGGAGAGCCGACTCCTTATGGCCTCCATGCCAGCATGTTCTTGGTACATAACCTTCCGCGCGATTACAGCAGGCCGGTGCTAATGATGTTGTCTTGCAGGTGACTCTCCGCGAACAAAGCACCCCCGAACAGAAGAAGCTCTTCCTCGAACCCGCCGAGAAGTATCAGATCATCGGTTGCTACGCACAAACAGAGTTGGGACACGGATCGAACGTCCGTGGTTTGGAGACCACCGCTACGTGGAATCCCGAGGACAAGACTTTTACCATCCACTCGCCCTCTCTGACGGCGTCCAAGTGGTGGATCGGATCCCTTGGACGTACCGCCAACTATGCGGTGGTGATGGCGCAGTTGTTCATTGCTGGCAAGAACTACGGTCCTCACCCCTTCGTCGTCCAGATCCGCGATCTCGAGACACATCAGCCACTGGAGAATGTTTACGTGGGTGACATTGGACCCAAGTTTGGTTACAAGTGAGCATCACCCCCTCAGTAATCCGGTTCCGACTGACCTGTAAAGCACTATGGACAATGGTTTCCTTCTCTTCAACAACTTCAAGATCCCTCACGTCAACATGCTTGCCCGCTTCTCCCGCGTAGACAAGGAGACGAATAAGTATATGCGCCCCGCCTCGCCGTCTCTGGTGTTTGGCACCATGACTTGGGTGCGCTCCAACATCGTCCTGCAGGCCGGTACCGTGCTGGCCCGCGGTGTCACCATCGCCACTCGCTACTGTGCGGTCCGCCGACAGTTCCAGGACCGCGACGCCAAGGCGGACGCGGGCGAGACCCAGGTGCTCAACTACAAGATGGTGCAGATTCGTCTGCTGCCTCTGTTGGCGGCGATGTATGCCCTGCACTTTACCGGCCGGGGCATGATGCGTCTGTACGAGGAGAACCAGAACAAGCGCGCCGCCGCCGAGGCCGGACAGGACAAGCGCGGGGCGGCCCCCGAGGCCCTCCGTGCCGGGTCGGATCTGCTGGCAGACCTGCACGCTACTTCTTGCGGTCTGAAGGCGCTGGCTAGTACCACCGCCGGAGAAGGGCTGGAGATCTGCCGTCGCGCCTGCGGTGGTCACGGATACAGCAGCTACAGCGGTATCGGACCATACTATTCCGACTATCTTCCGACCCTGACCTGGGAGGGTGACAACTACATGCTCACCCAGCAGGTTGCCCGCTACGTAAGTTTCTTTGTGTGTTTTTTTTTTGTCAGACAATGCTAATGCTAGGGTAGCTCCTCAAATCCGCTCGTGCGGTGCTTGCCGGCAAGGGAAGCGGCAACGACACCAGCCAGATCCTCCAGGCGTACCTTGCGCGTCGCGACAAGGGTGCCTCGTTCGACATCCTCGAGGTGGACAGCGACATTGTGGCGGCGTTCGCCTGGCGCACAGCACACCTCACCTTTGAGGCTCTCAAGCACCGCGATCTCGAGAAGCGGTCATGGAACAGCTTGTTGGTCGACTTTTGGCGTCTGTCCACGGCCCACTCCCAGTACCTGGTGGTCAAGAACTTCTACGAGGCGGTATCGTCGCCCGATCTGGCCGCCAAGCTGGGCCCGGAGACGACCAAGATCATGCACAACCTGTTCCGGCTGTACGCTCTGCACACGCTGGAGCGCGAGGCGGCCGAGTTCTTCTCATCTGGCGCCGTAACCGTCCGCCAGATCACGCTCACCCAGACCAACGCGGTCATGAAGCTGCTGGACGAGATCCGACCCCATGCGGTGCGCCTGGTGGATGCTTGGAAGATCCCTGACTGGCAGCTGGACAGCAGTCTGGGCCGCTATGACGGTGACGTATACCCTGATCTGTTCAATCGGGCCAGCCAGAACCCTCTCAACGATCTGGTGTTTGACCCTTATCCGTGGAACGAAGCGGTGCTGAAGAACGCACCCAAGAGCAAGCTTTAATTTTCCTACTTTGTATATATCCAGCTGTATATGATAGAGATAGAGCAATAGATGAGATGACTCATTCGTCCTCATTCGTCCTCAGACACGAAGTATAAAGTACAATCTACATGACCTCTCCGATGTCGGAGCGCTTGCAAACATCCCCGCAGTATAAGATCTCCAACACCCTCACAAGTTACAACCATATGATCATATCCATCACCAATCTATACCACATTTATATCTTCAATTCAATATGACTACAAAAGAATCAGCAACCTACACCCACGGCCACCATCCGTCGGTCCTCCGCTCCCACACGTGGCGCACGGCCGCCAACTCCGCCGCCTACCTCCTCCCCCACCTCCGCCCCGACATGCACATCCTGGACGTCGGCTGCGGCCCGGGAACCATAACCGTCGATCTCGCCCGGCTCATTCCACAAGGCCACATAACCGGTCTCGAACTGGCCCCGGCAGTCCTCGACCAAGCCCGCGCCCTCGCTGCCTCCAACTCCTTAACAAACATTACCTTCCAGTCTGGCGACGCCAACGCCCTCCCCTTTGACGAGGGCACTTTTGACGTGGTCGTCTGCCACCAGGTCCTGCAGCATGTGCGCGACCCGGTCCATATCCTCCGGGAGATGCGCCGCGTCGCAAAACAAGGCGGGCTGGTTGCCGCCCGGGAATCGGATTACGCGGGCTTCGTGTGGTACCCGGCCTCACCCGGGCTGGACGTCTGGCGGGAGACGTACCTGAAGGTGACACGGGCGAACGGCGGGGAGCCGAATGCGGGGCGGATGGTGCATGCCTGGGCTCGTGCGGCGGGGTTTGCCCGCGAAGAAATCAAGTGTAGTTCGAGTAATTGGTGTTATAGTACCCCCGAGGAAGTGGACTGGTGGAGTGGGCTTTGGGCGGAGAGGACGGTGGCGTCGGAGTTTGGCAGGACAGCGAGAGAGAATGCGGGCGTTGAGGGGGAGGAGTTGGAGGGGATTGCGAGGGCGTGGAGGGCGTGGGGGGGTGAGGAGGATGCGTGGTTTTCTGTGCTTTCGGGGGAGGTTATTTGTGTCAAGGGGGGAAGCTGGTAGACTGATCTTGTGATAATGGCTTGCTGCCTTTACAGTTGTATACAGATTCACTCACAGACCATCACAGGGTGGTCCGGGGTTATCAAGGTCTATTCCTAACATCATATACAACAGTAACATCCCCGCTTTATCTCATAAGTCATAACCTTATAGGCTCGCCTGGGTTGGTGATTGGTTAGGATTTACTAGTTCCTTTAGTGAAAGGTGACCATGCTTCAGTAGAGTCAGAACGAAAAGAAAATATCAAACCATTTTCCCGTGTTCTTTCATTAGATAAGCCGAATAACCTGCTTCTCTCGCCTAATCTGATTAAAGTCTTGTTTAGGAAACAAGGTTACAGTTAACATTGTTTGTCTGCGGGTCTGTTGGTTAATTTGTTCAAGCGCGAGCATGAAGACCGTCTCTTTCCGCGACTCACGACCCTGGATCGTTTCGCAATTTCTCTGAATGATCAAGCAGGTATAACGCCCGGTCTTCAAGGTGTTGTTGTGTCTGGACTGTCCTTCCTTAACAGTCCCGATGGAGTCGTCCTGTCCAGGATTGATAACTCGCTGAATGGTTCTGTACGAATGTCGAGATCAACTACCCAGCCCTCAACCACGATCTCATTCTCGTGAGAAGCTAGGAAGTGCAGTTTGAGATCGATGTCGCAGGTGAGGGCGAGACTACCGTTGGCAGTTTTCAACAACTTTTCTGGAAAAACGACTTCCCCTTCCCATCCTGTCCAACTCCAACTCGGGAACTCTGCTCGACGTTTTGGGGTGGCCTTCCTCGAGTGCATCCAAGCCAAGGAAAAGGCGTGACTCCGCAGGGGAAGGCCATGCACGAAGCCTTCTGGAAATAGCTGCCGCTTTAAGAATGTGAGCATGCCTCGGAAGGCGTTGAGAGAGTCGCTTTCGTTGGTCATGTGACGTCTTGTGTAGGTCCTTAACAGGCCACTGTAGAAATCCATGCATACCTCGGAATCTCCATAAAATTGTTGGACTTTCGAGATCTATAAGCCGGCATCAGCGAGGGTTAATGGAAGGACCTTACGGGAGTCACCCTTACAGGATTAGGCGCGTATAGCGTTTGAATCGTGGACTCGAGGGGATGGGTTCCAAGAGAAATGCTGGGAACAGTCGCAACGTCCAATCCTTCTTCAATCCGACCACAGAGACATACGAATGCTACCTGACTTTGAGTGAACACTAGCGATCGTCTAGACAGCATACCTTCTTGTAGCGTCCAAGCACGACGCGACCATATAGCCGCCTGTTCCTCCAGGGCGAAGTGTTGTGGGATAGTGGAGAGAGTGCAATTATTGATATTCTCCTTTACTTGAGTCAAACGTGCAACGGATATGCCGGGTAGGCCAGCGTTCGCATGCTCGCCTGTCAGTGCCATGATGGTAACAGTCGCACAGCCGTAGATGGTCGACATCATGTTGAGCTGTTTCACCTTGTCTTTCATTTGTGATGGTGTTGGATTCGGCGACTGAGGAGGTATATAATATATTAGTTAAGATAATCTATACTATTACTAGCTAGGCTATCTATACTATATACCTTCTTTACTAAGCTACTACATCCCTTCTTTATCTTAGATAGGAGCTTTATAAAATGTATATTTGTTACGACACCAACACAGCCGCATTAGCGCAAGGCGGATGTGACAGGCAGAATCCAAAGGATTATTAATCGCTAATTAATCTTGAAAATGATCACCCAGTGATCCAGGGAAATACTTAATCCAGACAGATTCCTCCTCACAGAAAAACAGTTCAGTTATATACTACTACACCACATGGGTGGCCATCACCCACCAGTCACCCACGTGACTGATCTCTAGTAATGATCGATTGTTATAGAGGACAATTCATATTTGCTAAAAGGATATTAAATACAGCCACCACATCATGTGATGAACTACCATATACCATGGCTTGGCAATGGTAGATGGTATACAACTACCTGTTACGGAACACCTGCAGGCAGCATGGACTGGTTGGACAGGGCTTACGAGAGAAGCGGCGCAGCTTGACGTAAAGCGGCTAGGTCACGTGACCAACGGTCCCAAATGCTAACACAAGGTGACGGTCCCTGGCGGACCGCAATTATGAGAAGGCACCATGGACCTTGGATGGATGGTCTATGATGGGACCTTATGACAGCCTTAAGGTATAGACTGAAAGGGAGGACTATATAAGGATGGTCATTACTACTATATCTAGAGTTCTTATTTAGTTCTTTGTATTTAATATAAGTTATTCACTTAAGTATAAGTTCACTGATCTGATTTGTTAGTTACTCTCTTACTATTAAGTATATGTACTTAATAGGCCTTGCTTCTATCTTTGCTGTTATTGTTCTTGTGCATCTTTGGATTGTCCTTGATCCTGTTTGGATCATTATACTATTGAGCATACCTATACCCTGTTGGTATATTGTTAGGCTACCTGGTCGGTAGGCCTTAGGCAAGTGTCAGATATAGTCTAGGGACCATATCATCCCTAAAGTAGTGACTAGCAGGAACAGCAGGGATGGATCCTAGGGTAGTGATAAATTAAATGCTGTACAGTATAAATCTAGAGTTGCATAACCGAACCGCTAAAATCGAATCCGACCCTCACCGAACTCGCAGCGGTTCGATTCGGTTCCTAGATTGAGAAACCGCACCGGGTTAGGGGCGGGTCAGGGTCGGATCCAGGGGGTCAGCGGTTAAACCGCTAGAAACCGTTTTGCTTAGTAATCACTATTTTCTAGGATTTCTCTAGAAATATTAATATTACTAGGTAGCCTAGTATCTAGTCTATCTAAATATGAAATATCAATTCAGAATATTTAGTGGTTGGTGAGATATAAGGGAATAATCATTTCTGTCATGGGTTGGTATAGAAGTGGTGGTGGTTTATATATATATACACATCAACTGTTGATAATCACTATAGTTAAAGAATGATTTTTAACCACCACCCATTCAACCCTATAGATATTGAATTAATATTTTAGATATATATCAAAATGACTATAATTACCATATATTTCATATTAAAATTATAATTTTATAAAAGCATGTTTAATAGGCCCTTAGTATAGGCCTAAGATAGGAGAAATTGAATTCTAGAAACCATTGAAATTTTTGGTATTGCCTAGGCATACCGCCCACCTAGACAGGCTAGTGACTGCCTATCTAGGCCTAGTAGCGGATTTTGCGGTTAAACTCACACCGAATCGGAACGGGTCAGGGTTGGTTCCGATTTCTAAAATTTGGACTCGAAATCGCAGCGGTTCGGTTCCAACTAGGGTTGGACTCGCCCGAACTCGGACCGAATGCAACTCTATATAAATCACTTTAGGAAGTTTAATCAACTCTTAACATTAAATATTATAGTAAATGACGCGCCACGAACTCCCACCAGCTTAAATATTAGTTGGGCAGGAATACTGCAGTAATAGACTGCTGCACAACCCCAGATCACAGTAGAGGGTCTGATAGGCATAATTAAACAGCTCTAAGAGCATATTCAGCAATTAGAATAATAGAATGAAACCCTGAGTGGATGACTGGCAGTTAAATCTATCAAGATCAGACCACTGGAACTATTTAATGGGAATTAATCTAAATTATGAATGTTTCTTATGTAACTGGATATGTATATCCAGATGAATAGGGAGAAACTTACTAATAAAGTGGATAAGATCCTGTTTATAACTACTTACCTAACTAGACCTGCTTTTGATTAGTTTAAACCCTTTATCAGGGATTATCAAGAACACACTACAGACTTACAGGACAACAAAATATAAGCTATATTTACTAGCTATACTGAATTCAAGAAATGACTTGAAAGAACTTTTGGTGACATTAATAAAGAAAGAAATACTGAGTGACAGCTATAGCAGCTTAGATAAACTAGATCTATTAGGGAATATACATCAAAATTCTAATAGATCATATCCTATCTAAACTAGGATGAGGATATGAACATTACATGCTTTAAAGAAGGACTGAAGCTAGAAATCTAGGAAAAACTAATCTAGATAGAGTAACTAGACACACTTAGCAGAATAATTAAATAAGCAGTTAAGATTAATAATAAATTATAAGACTTCCATATGCGCAGAAGAGATTAAAATAACTAGAATAGATTTAGTAATAAGCGCACCATAAACTATTAACTAAATGATAGGAGATCAGCTTAACTAAGGAGCTAAGGGTATATAGACCCTTATAGACTATAACTAATGGAATTAGATGTAATCTAACTAATAGCACTTTCTAATAAGGAAAGAGAACAGTAATATAAAGAGAAACTATATTTCTAGTATAAGAAGCCAGGGTATATATTAAAGGTCTATAAATAACCCTAGAAGGGTAAATAGGATGGGAAGAAATAACTATAAGCTATAAAGGAGCTTAGCACTATAATTAGCAGAGATGGTTATAACACCACTAGCATCATTAAACCTCAGCAGAGGGAGAGTAATAAATAACTTAGAAGGCTATATAAAGAATATACTGCTCTGAGTGATAAAGAAATTAAAATAGAGCTTAAGAAGGAAGCCTCCACTGATTATAAAAGTATAAATAATAATTAGCCTGCTAAGAACTTAAATATACTTACAGCCACTAATCAGAAGTCACTAATTAGTAATGATAGACCCAGCTCTAATAAATAGGAAGACTTTATGGCTGAAGGCTATATCCAGAGACTAATAACACTAATTAATAAAAGATGTCAGGTTATCAGCCCCAATTTAGAAAATACTAACCATGATGAGCTAGATCAAGAGGATTTTCCCATAATAGATTGGACTACTATTAACTGACCTATTGATCTACTTGATGAAGAGTATAGAACTTAGTAGGTAAGCCTTAATCCTAATAAGGAACAGCCCTATAAGATTCCTAAGACACCCAGATTTGAATCCCTATAAGATGATGATGAAGCAGACTAATATGCCATATAGCTACAGAAGCTAGATAGAGCATAGTTAGCAGAATTAGAAGTATATTAACTGAATGCAAGAATCCTCAAAAAAGTTAAATAAGGAGTGAGAGGATGCATACATTAAAATTTAGAATATTAGACTTAAGTTAAATCTTAGGAATAACATATGACACACTATAGTAAATATATCTTTAAGAAGCAGTTTAATTAAAGTTACTATATTATTATAGATATCTTATCTTACTTAAGAAGTATGACAGTGGAGTCTATCAGAGTAAAAGTACAGAAGTAGGATATTAGGAGTAGATAGGGATAACTCTAAGAGAGAGGAAAGAAAGTAGATATAGACTCCTAAAAATAGAGTAGATATAGACTCCTATCACTTAGAGAGGGAGTGGATGTGGACTCTAACTATAGACTCCTAGAGTGGCCATGGACTCTGACTATGGACTCCTAGAATTACAGTCAGCAGACCTTGCGGTCGGCCCTAATTAGTATGGCAACCGTGGACTCCACGCACGATACCGTTGATAGGTTAAGATAAGGTGAGTGCGGTGGCTAGTTAATAGTACTATAAAACTTAAATAATTTCTTAACTATAATAGTTTAATATAGATTACTTTACTATTTCTTACAGGATCTTTATGAGATCTATACCATTAGTAATAGTGGATTTTTCTCTATTTTTTGATGTATTTATTATATTAATATCTTTATTCTATGGCTCTCAAGTAGAGATGTAACAGAAATTTAAAAGTAGTTAGCATTATAAAGCACACTAACCACTTTTAAATTTCTATTATATTTCTTTCACAGTAAATAACTCTACCAATATTTAATATTTTTTAATGATATAAACATTATTATATTACTCTCTTTCAGTTCTATCGAATGATATAGGTTTGACTAAGATTGGCCATGGTTGTGGTGTTGACCCGAACCCATGACTCCCTATATAGAAGGGGCCCTGGCATTGGCAACTAGCACAGTTAGATGCACTATACTAAGATGGATTAAGTGATACCTGGATTATCCCTCGCCGTCCAGGCCTGATACTGTTGCCAGAGAGGGGGGTGCCGGACCGCACAGGGACACGCCTGATGGGGACGGGCGGAGCCCGCTCGTAGTGATCATTCCTTAATATCTTAGCAACCACTAGGTATTTTGAATCGATATTTATATCACTAGATAGCCCTGAACCTAGGCTATCTAGTAATATAAAAGTTTATTAGCTAAATCCTAGAAATTAGGTATTAGTAAGCAAGAAATAACCAAACAGTTTTAACCGAACCCAAAATGGTTCCGGGGTATAGAAACTGAACCTGAAGCGATTCCCTAGGCTTACCCCCAAACCCGCACCGCTGCAAGTTCGGTGAGGGTTGGGTTCGATTTTTGCGGTTCGGTTATGCAACTCTAGGCTGCCCTAAGGACTATTATTCCTTTATTATAAGATCTAGGAAGTCCAGGAAGTCTAGGAAGTACAAGCTTAAACGAAGTTATCTTGATTTAAATGCTAATTCTAGGGTTTGTTAATATCCAGGTGGTGGTTAAGAGTAGATTATAATGAGCTGTTTAAGTAGCAGATATATCTGCTTTAATGATCAGCCCATGTATGCTTATCATTGGGCTCTGGAAAGGGCTGAGGCCATGCATCCTGCGTGGCCAAAAGACCTTGTCAGTGATAATACCCTAAATCCAGTGAGCCCCTTGTGGGATAGAGAACCTCCCACTGTGTCCGTGTATCCAATTTGGGCTTGCCAAACCGGGGAAGCTTTATCTCACGGTAACTGACAGCAAAGACTCTCTTTCCAGGAAAGAATAGGGTAGGCTTCTCCTCTGCTAGCTTAGAACCATTTCGGAGGCCAACTCGAGACGAGGGGCCCGCCAGATCACTGCTGAAGCCATGCTTGAGGGTAATCCATTTGGGATTGCACAGGGCAACGTAGCCAGTGACAAAGTAGAGTTTCGTAGTCTGTCGCTGCAAGTACCGTCGCTGCAAGTACCGCCACATTCCTCTCTCGTAGAAAAAGCGCATTGGCAAGTACCCCCATGTTCCTGTCTCGTAGAAAATGTGCATTGGTTCCAGAAGTTCGACCGTCTGTCGATAGTCTGACGTTATCCCAAAGAGAGCTGTTTCATTTGGCTGAGTTTGCACCGCAATACCAAAGTCGGAGTCGGTAGAACGAAGCGTTCTTGGCGTTCTTTGATGGCGCGCGAGATCCGGATCAATTAGGGTCATGGCATCAATATGGGGACTACGAATATCTGCAACAACACTCCCAAGAACAAGATTGTCCACAGGGAGTGGAATGCCAATGAGGGCGTTTAAAAGAGGCAACGAGGGCGAGTAGCTGAGGGTCTGTGGGTGATCCTGCAAGCCTAAGGGAGATGGCTGACCCGTATCGTCCACAGCTGCAGGATGTTCCTCTGCCAGATTGGAGTCATTGGATGGGGCGATGACTCCTTTTTCTTTGCTACTATCCACTACATCAGAGGAACTGCCATGATGTTCATCGCGCGTTGCATGTTTCTTCATGCTGTTAATGGTGTCAATAGGGTTAGAGCTCTCCGCTTCAGCAGTAGCGCCCACATTGCCGGATGACCCGAACCCCGTCTGATGTTGTGATAGCCAGTTCTCTTGTCTTGCTTCGGCATTAATTGTAGCTTCTCCATCGTGCGTTGGCCTTGTTTCTGGACTGGATAGGGATGCACTGTCTACTTGCGGGCTAATCACAGCTTTTGGCAGCACTGGAACGCCTTTAAACAGCTGTGATATACTCCCCATAGTATCAGTTATAGGCAACATATAGGCCCTTTGTAAGGACTTTCGAAAAGCGATTATGGTCCCACAAATTCTTTCATCGAGGTAGACAAACGAACCGGAGTCACCGGAGTCTGATGTGAACTAGTAGTCAGAATGTTGTCCCCACATTACATAAAAGTTCCTGGCTCTTACCAAGGGTCTTATCCATGTCAATGGGCATCAAACTTAAGCTAGTTGAACCATGTTGCAGGATTGATCTGGTGATTCTCAGTCTGCCTTTGGCCTGTCCGCTAAAGCCAGCCCGGACGAGAACACTCCGTGGCTTGAGATCTGCGTCTTGCGCCACCTCTAACTCTGCGTGTTTTACAGCTTCAAGTTTAGCAGCGGCCCGGCTACTCTCTAAGTGAGTTAATTTAAAATGCTCACTCAGTTCAATGAGAGCCCAGTCGGTGTTTGGCATGACATTGCTCAGTTTTCCTTGTTCAAAAGTGTCGTCGAAATGCCCAGAGCTCAGAAGATACGCAACTATGTTGCCCACTGTGAAATACCTCAACGGCCTATCTGTTATAATATGCTCATGTTTTTTCGATTTGGCGTCGATCAGAGGATGAGCAACAGTGAGACCAAATATATGACCTTCCACTGTAACAAATCCTCCGAGCGTACATTTGGCGTAAAAAGCCGACCTATCGGCGGCCTCACCTATGAGAGGTTTCGGAAACACGTATAGGGGTGCAGATAGACATCCATCCCAGTTGTTCTCTTCAATTTTATCGCTCAGTATAGTGGCACACAAATAGCCATCGTCTTCTGTTGCTGGCAAAGTCCCATCTGGGGATGCTGAGGCGGCCGCAAATTTTGTGATATCGTATATGACAACCCATGGCAGACCTGACATCTCGGATGGTTGTAACTTTTGCTTTAGAGATTCCCTTACATCTCTCTTTCTAATATTGCTGGCACAGGAAATGACAATATGAGGTACAATGCGATTGTCTGGTGTGCGAATCATTTCAAGCTCCTGTAATGTGGCTTTTTCATCCTCTGTGCAATCTGTATCAATATTACAGATTAATTTTTCTAACCACCCACTAACCTTGGTGTTAAAATTTGTATAGTCTGTGAGTGGCACATTAACATTAGTGATGATTTGCACACCATCAATTTTAGTGCTTCTGTGTTCCTCAGAGTTTTCGCCGCTACCATTCCGGTGGCGCAATCGCTTCCACAAGGAAGAAGGGAAAAAGCCATTTGCGAGCCTAATTGAAAGGGGCACTTTCTGTATGTGTGATCTTTCCACGTCGGGCTCTCCGGTGGCAGGATGAGGCCTTGAGATCCCTGAGTGATTATAATCCCTGCGAGTTGGCACTGGTTCCGGTGAGCCCATCTGTATAATTTCTCTAGCTTCTGGTGTATCGGGTGATCCTAGAGCTGGACCGGATGGTAATACCGGATCAGCTATGGTTGTACGATGCAAAGCATTATCCGGACCATCCACTTCCCCATTGACAGGGACATTGCGATCGGGGTTGACCGGGCTTGAAGCTTCCACGTCTGTTGTTGGTAGACGACGGACTGTCGAGACGTCCGGTCTCTCGCTTGCAGCCACTCCATTATTTCCATTGCTTTGTGCGATATGTCTGACAGCTTCTAGCGCCGATGGCGCACTTGGAGGTTGACCTTCTGGCCTGCTGCAATTGCTGGGAGCTCGGATAAAAACCTCTTCAGCCATAGTGGATTTTGCAAGATAGATGTAAGTTTCATAGGAAATATACATCTAGATGAGTGGCCAATTTCGCAGCGGAGTGCAGCTCCAGTTCGTAAGCTTTAGCTTTTTCGAAGTTAATAGTGCTGTAGTCCTTGTCTCATAATGAGAGAAAGCGATGGCCCGAGGGTAACTCTTGGGCGTAGTGCTGTCAAAGAATTGAAAGTAACCTTGGGCCAATACAATTCAATAAAACTCTGGTTCTAAAGTACAGTGCAAGGAAAGAAAGTCCCGAGGATAATTTACGTCTACAACCGTTCCCATCAAGGACTACTTATGGTAGCTCTCAAGAGTAAGACCCTCCTTTACATATATGGATCAAGGCTAATAATATGATGTAACCATTGCATACACTTCTTCAAAAAGTACGGTAGTTATAGAGGTCTTGATGTAAAAGATGTTCAGATGGGATGGTCAAGATCCTCCTAATGTAGAATCCATGGATCAAGTTTACTGTGATGTAACTATTACACACGCCTCTTCACTAGATATGGTAGCTCTAAAGCCTAAGCCCCCAAAAAGTCGCCCCCACGTAATATCTAAAACCTTTTTAATGTAGCATTTAGGGATCAAAATTGGTTACATGATAGACCTAAACTTAAGTTTATGTTTGTGCTGATCTGTGTGTTTAAAAGTTACCATGGTTGAAATTGTTGGGCGGGGTTCACATTGTACGATTTTACCAGAGAGTTGCACAAAATATAGTTGATAAAAGATGGATATGATCTATGGTGGCGTACACAAGCATAAATACTGCTGGTGATCTCCTTTGTGAAATCTATACCATTGTGCTGGGTAATGTTGCAGGCAGCATGTTTTCATCCCCAGTACATGAAGGTGGTCCGCGCTTCGCTGAAAGATACCTCCCTGATAAGATGGAGCAGACAGTTACAGAGGCTGCAAATGATGAGCTTAATATCATCAAATGCCTCTTCAATGACGCTGTAACCGAACAAGATCTCCCGGCTTATAAAAATTATCTTGAATTGTTTCAGAAGGAGATAAATCGCTTGAAGAACGACTCTCGTGGCACCACCAGTCCAGACAGGAACCGAAGGAACAAAAGGGATTTTGCAGCAAAAGATTACAAAGATATACTGACTATGATGGGCGTACTTGCCAATTCAAACCTCAATTGCCGCGCTCAAGTCAGAGAAAAGCTACGCAAGACGGGCTTTGAGGACTATGATGATGGCCCCCTGGACAGTTCTATTGATATGACACTCCGGCTCTGGCTCATGCTGAACGTACGTTCAAAGGATACGACTATAAAGGCTGACACCGTCGCATTGCAATGGAATGATGATGATACACTTTCTCAGTTCATCGTTCATCACTTCCCTAGAGCTGGGGAGCCGATGACCTCGAACACATTGCATCGAGTAGATGCCGACTTCAATGCCTCAAGTCTGCAACTTTATCGCAACGTTAGAATTAAATGGACCCAGAGCCTTGAGGATCATTTACGCCTCAAGTATAGGAGGAAAACAAAGGAAGTAGAGCTAAGAGTTTTCCCATTTAAGAGGATATTGGTAGATTACCTGAAATCTGGGTACGTCACTGCCCCAGTTGCGTAGCACACTTCTCTTACTGACGATGCGCAGCAAAACTGCTTATTCAAAGGACTTGCTAAGGGAGACAATTTGGACTCTTGACTTGCTATTCCCATTAGGTGACGATGAGACGACGAGTTTCCTAATCAAAGAGGAGAAGAAAAATAATATCCATGATGTGCTGTTCCCGGAGACCGCCCCACCTGGATTTTATAGATACCATTATTGGAGAGCACGACTAGTTGAGCTTCATGATGAGTTTCATGCAGCACCCCGTGGTTTATGGGCGGCACTGAGAGACGCACGAAATCCAATTGCCTGGTGGACATTTTGGCTTGCATTCCTCATTTCAGTCATGACTATTATTATTGGTGTGGCTAGTTGTGTGCTGGCTGGTCTGCAGCTCCATTATGCGATGCATCCACCCACAACTGAACCAACTTGCCACCAAACATGCCGCAGATAAGAGCTTCCAATATTTTAAATGACGTTATCAAACATCACAGCAAAGGCGCTTTCGAAGTGATCAGACTATTGGAATAATTATCTATGTATTCGTTCTATAACTCCTAGTCACAGTGTCATGCGCAGAGTCCATGCGCCCTATACTGATTATCGCCAACTACAACCCCTCCGCAGCGCAGAGTCCAGGTTTGATTCCTGTCTACTCTGGAGTCTATGGTCCCCTACTATCCTACCTTAGCATAGTCTATATCTTGCTTCTAGAGTCTACGTTTGCCCCTATTTTATTTTTATTTTATTTTTATTTTTTATTTTTTCCCCTACTCACTCTTCCTAAGCCACTAACCAACATTTTCCTTTTCATGCTATAAGGGAAAACCATGGTAGTTATCAACACCCACCCCTGTAATATCTGATATTAGTTTTCTTTCTATAGGTAGTATAATCTCTAATAATTTAGAAACAATTTCCCTAATAACAGTGTCGTTTGTGGAGTCCGTGGTTCCTATACTAATTATGGGTAGACCTAGGCAGGTGTTCCGGGTAACCCAAGTGAAATATGTGTCAAACCTAACTTGGGCTGGGTTTTGGGCTCAAGGGGGGTGTTCTGAGTTGGGTTCTAGGCTTTTATATAGAACCCAGCTGGGTTTTGGGTAACCCAGTTAGGTAGATAAATAAGGCAAATATATAATATGTATTAATTATGTAGTCCTGTCTTGTATATATTTTAGTTAGTCAGCAGAATTATGCATCTTAGCATGGCGTAATTAGGGAAATTATACTAAAATGAAATAACCTAGGCAACCTAACTAGGTAGCCTAGTTAGGTTCTAGGCTGGGCTTGGGCTCAGGGGGGTTGTTCCAGGTTTTACCTGGGCTGGGTTTTGGGCTCAAGGGGGGTGTTCCAGGTTTTACCTGGGCTGGGTTTTGGGCTCAAGGGGGGTGTTCCAGGTTGGGTTTTGCCTAGGTCTAATTATGGGTGACTGCAATGCCTCCATAGCACAGAGTCTATGTTTGATTTCCATCTCCTCTGAAGTCTACAGTCCCCACTATCCTGCCTTAGCAGAGTCTAGAGTTGCATTCGGTCCGAGTAGGCGAGTCCAACCCCAGTTGGAACCAAACCGCTGCGATTTCAAGTCGAAATTTTAGAAATCAGAACCAAACCTGATCCATTATAATTGAGTTCAAGTTTAACTGCAGAAAACTGCTACTAGGCCTAGATAGGTCTAGCTAGGCCACTACTAACTAACTATGGTTAGATTCAGTCCAGTTTGGTTTTGATTTATATAACCTGAATAGATTAATTTTAATGGTTTTTAGAATCTAATTTCTTCTATATTAGGCACCTATTGTAAGGATCTACTTGACAGGGTAGATAACCTATTGACTAGGTAAGGATCAGTAATAATTATAAGGAGGGGAGGAATAGTATATTTAATTAATCCCCTTAATATAAGACTAATTCTTATCTTCCTTAGGATATATAAGGAGGAGATGCTCCTATATATATTTACTGATAGTTTAATAGCACTTTGGCTATGATGTATAGATATAGGTAGGTGATATTATATATAGATATAATATAAGGTAATAATATAACCTAATCTATATCTACTTTATTATAATTTATACCCCCTTCTACTATAATAACTATTCTTAGTCATATAATATAGCTTTAATATTTCTAAAATAGGAAATAACCTTATATCTAAAAAGTTAACTAATAAAGAGTTTAAGCTTATAGCTATAATCTAACTATAGTATAAATAGTATATCTTTATTTTATTATATTCTTTATTTATATGTTATAAGGTGGTTATTATTAAGGTAATATTATTATAAATAATTAATTTACTATATATTATACTTACTACTTCTTTATTTTATTTTCTTTTTTATTATCTTAATAACTCTTTATTATTATATTTCCCTCTTTTCTTTTATTTTTTATTTACTAATTATAATATCTTTATTAATTTAGATATTTATATTTATAACTTAGTATCTTTAATACTATTATAGTGGGATAATCGTCATCGCAGAGGGCGTAGAGTCTTCGAATCGTGCGAGGGTAGGGGGTAGGCCAGCGGCCGCCCCTGTAGAGGCTCAGCTACAGCCCAGCCACTCGATTATGCAGCCACCCCTTGCTTCCTAATTGTTTTCAACCTCCTGTTTCATACCTTGAGCCGCTTTTGAATCATCGCTGAATGCATCTAGGATAGACAGTGAAGATAAATAGTATCCCCTTGTCTGGTATTTGAGAAGACAAGGATTAGTTTTATTCTCATATAATCTACTATTCTTTACCAATATTCCTCCTTACTATCATCACCAATTCTTACCTAGTTAATGGGCAATCTACCCTGTCACATAGATCCTTACAATTTCTAATCCTTCTCTCTTTAACTACCTAAGTATTGGTCATGATGCCTACTGAATTTTACTGTAAAGCTATTACTTCTACCCCTTTGCTGGTGGAATAATATAGTCCTATTAAAGAAATGTCTTCTAATCTAAGCGACTCCTCTACTCCTACTAATTAACCTTAAGAGTTGAAGGGGGCTGAATTACAATAAATTCTATAATAGATTACTGAACTTGAACACCTTTAATAGATTTAAAGAGTTAATGAGTTTAAACAGCATTCTCATTAAAATAATACCTCCTCTTTAACGGAAGATAAGCAGGAAATTAAATTCAAAAATCTTCCTATCTTTACTATTAAATATTCACTCTAGAAAAGAGAAGAATGGCTCTAAGATATAGAATATGTATTCTAAGGAGCCCTGAAAAAATATAGCCCTGATAAATTTAAAATCATTACTACTATTGCACAAATAGATTCCACCTATAGGCAGCAATAGTATATTAAAATCCATGAAATGCCAACAGAGAGATAATGAAATGCTGAAAATTTATAGTAGTTCTTTAAGGACTAGACCTTGAGTCTGATCCAAGATGCTGAAACTATTAAGGCTGATGTTATTATTAAATTACATCAGGCTTATTAACACCCAGACAAGGATCCTAGAGAATTTCATTATTATCTAGATTCCCTAGAACAACATTTTCCTTAATAAGATAAGAAGCAATAAGCTCTGACCTTCTTTAGCAGCCTTATACCAGAGTTATATACTTATATTTAAGAGCACCTGGATAAGCTACTAGACACTTAAGATAAAATAGTGTCTATAACTTTAAAATATCACACCTTTTTACAGCAATGATAAAAACAGAAGAGGAAAGATATTAAAAAACCTTAAGAAGGAAAACCTTAAGATGATAATCTATTAAAATGCTTCTGAAGTAATTTCGAAAGGTTTATAAAATCTAAATAAAACTAACTTAATAAGGATGGGAATCCCTTAAAATATTATAAATATAGTAGCAAAGAACATCTCACTAACTAATGCATTGCAAGCGATGCTAAAGTCTAATTAATTATAGAAAATAATAAAGGGTTAGAGTAAAACCTATGCCTCTAACCTCCTACCCAGAAGTAGGGACTACTAGCTATTTTTATATTCTAATATAGCTGCCTAACAGCCTCAAAACGCATGCTGATCTTGATAGCTGTGCTAAGGTTAATATTATTAGCATTACTTTTATAAAATCATAAAAGCTATAGTAAGCTAAACTTACTGCCCCTATTATTAAGGCAGTTAATAACTTTATTACTCCTACTTATAGGGTTTGGAAGGTTCCTATTATTACCTATAATTCTAGGGGCATTAGGTAAAGCTTTAAACAAGCTTATGTAGCCATTAATTAAGACCTATAACCTAAAGGGAGTCCCATCCTTCTTTTAATAACTATATTACAGGACCTCTGCATTCACCTATCACCATAGAATCACTAATAGTGGTTTAAGATACCTACCTTCTCTCTAGCAGCTCTATAGAAGTTTAAGAAGCTATGTCATAACTATATAATAGTATTTATATTAGTTAAACTACCTAAAGAGGTATGGCTTTCTGAGGAAGAGAAGAATTAGAAATATTATTCTCTTAAAAATATACCTCTAGAATTAGCTAGGTTTTATGATGTGTTCTTAGCAGAAAAATTAAAAATTATACCCTCTTATTCCTCTTGGGATCACGCTATTGAAATAAAACCTAACAAATCACCATCATTTAGTCTACTATATCCCCTATCCTAAGCAGAACTTCATAAATTAAAGGAGTATCTTAACAAGAACATTGTATGTAGAAGAATTTAACCTTCTAAAAGCCCTACTAGAGCCCCTATTCTCTTTATCCTAAAAAAGAATGGGGGGTTAAGGCTATGTGTAGACTACCAGGGACTTAATAAAATAATAGTGAAGAATTAGTACCCATTACCCCTTATATTAGAGATTCTTGACTAAATCTCAGGGGTGAAATACTTTAGTAAGATTAATATCTAAGATGCATACTATTAAATCCGCATTAAGGAAGGAGACAAATGGAAGACAGCCTTTTGTACCTGATATAGTTACTATAAATATATAGTTATGCCTTTTGGCCTTATAAATATGCCAGCTACCTTCCAGAATTACATTAACACCACCTTATATAACATTCT